ATTATTTTATCTGGTACCAATCTAAGCTCTTCTTTACTTAGATGTTAGATGTGCTTGCAAAGAGAGCCACATTTCACACTGAAGTGTGTGTACGACATCAGTAATGTTATGTCAATTCCAAGAATGTTTAACGTTATATCGGTTGATGAGGAATTTATTGATTAGGCCTATAATAGCAAATTGCATCAATTTATTTTGCAAAAACAAGGTTTCCAGATTCAGATGGGGGCACATCTCCTGTCCGCACAAGGGCACACATTGGCGCTAACACCAGGCGCGTAACAGGGGTCTTGGGTCAGAGTGGGTATTTATTTTCCCGGTTAGTAATTAATTTACCATAACCACCCCACCCCACTCCCCATATAGAAAACAATACGACATAGGGCTTATCTTATTTATAATATAGGCCACACACATGTGTTTGAAACTAAATACAGTATAAGCATTTTCATCATGGTTTTATTTATTACAAACATATTCTTTCACCATCAAAACACATTGAGGTCCTTCTTTTAGATTAAAACGATCTATCTTAAATTTGTCTTTCTTGAGTTTGGGACTATTATGTGTTTAAATAACTTAAAAGTATAAACCTAAAAAAGCCCTAAAAAATATTTTGTGTTTTTAATTCTAATTTCGTCGGAATTGATGAAAACTCCCTAAAATGTGCAATTTATAGAGGAAATTGGCCTACCGTAACAAGAAATGCGCGCAAAGAATTTGAGAATTTTAGGCACTTCAGAGGATGCATTTGTCAAGGGGTGGGGAAAGATGTTCCAAAGATGGATATTTTCCCCCTTGTCCCCCGGTGTTTTTAATTCTAATTTCGTTTGAATTGATCAAAACTCCATAAAATGTGCAATTTAGAGGAAATTGGCCCATGTTAACAAGAAATGCGCGCGAAGTGCGCGAAATTTGATGTTTTTAGGCACTTCAGGGGATGATAAGGGCATTTATAATTAAAAGGGGTGGGGAAGATTTTCCAAAGATAGATATTTCCCCTTGTTCCCCAGTGGTTACGCCATCGGGCAGCATAGATCAAAGGAGTTATGACAGTTTTTGAAGTGGAGAAGAGGTTGCAGAGTGTTGTGAGTCTGGTCATTATGATATCTTCCTTTTTATTCTTTTCTTTATTTTTCTCTTCTCTTTTTCTTTCCTTTCCTTTTTTTTCCCTCTTCTTTCTCTTTCCCTCCCTCTCCCCTTTTTCTTTTCTCTTATTACCCAGCCCGGTACGACGGCTTGGTCAGCCCGGTAAAAACCGTCAAGGGAGGGGCAGTTTTCCCCTCCATTCCCCCTCCCCCCCGCGCCTGTTACGACACTGGCTAACACGTCAATCATACTTTTCTACGCCACTGTATAATGCTCACATATTTTATCTAGGCCTATGGAGGGAGACTAGTATTTTGAAGGTTTTAACCAGTCATATCTAGGAGTGCAAGGGGGGGGGGGGCGCCCCTCCAAAAATTAATCGCGCCCCTTCAGTGGACCCCCCAAAAATTTCACGGACAAGTAGTTAAAAATCACCTTAATTTGCGAATTAGCGGTCCTTAACTGATCATCGATCCCCCTCCAGCTTCACATTTTCCCTCATGTCATGTGTTTTTTTTTTTGCTGTAATTTAAGAATGTAAAAGAAACAACATGCTAAAAATTGGCCTAATATTGAGTGGAAATGTATATTGGTGGTTAAAAGGTCTATATTGTGGCCAAACCACTCTACAGTAAATAATGAGAATCTTTAAATTGTACTATGATGTTAAATAGGCCTATATATAACGCATAGGTCACATGATGTTAAATAGGCCTATATATAACGCATAGGTCACATGATGTTAAATAGGCCTATATATAACGCATAGGTCACATGATGTTAAATAGGCCTATATATAACGCATAGGTCAATGATGTTTAATAGGCCTATATATAACGCATAGGTCAATGATGTTTAATAGGCCTATATATAACGCATAGGTCACATGATGTTAAATAGGCCTATATATAACGCATAGGTCACATGATGTTAAATAGGCCTATATATAACGCATAGGTCACAGGAATTCATCTGTTCATACGAAACGTTAACTTGTCACCGAAACGAAATCTTACTATCACTTCCGTCCTGAACTGCGAATATGGCGAATCACTTTTGAGAGAAAACAATAAGGAAACAATCGAAAAAGTTAAAAACAAAAAATGTTGGACAATTCAGTGGGCTTACACGAAGTACATGTTAAAAATGTGTAAGCCATTTGTTACATTAGTAGCCGTAGCACTACTTGCCTTTAATCTAGCTGATGCCAAATTGGGACTTGAAGTTGGAGCGGTGAATGTCTTGTCTCGAAAGTATGTAAACAATTTTATTCATTATATATTTTCTATTTATGTATGTTTCTTACTATGTGGTAAGATGAAATCAAATAAGCTATATAGTCCACGCGTCTAGCGCTCTCATCTTCATGAAATCGCGCTATATAATAATACATAGGCCTAATATATATATAACACGGTAATGCTGTATGTATGTATGTTTGGTTGTTTGGTAATTTTAATTGTAATATTCTTTTCATCTGTCTTGTAAAAACCACGTCTTCTTCTCTTTTGTATAAATCAAAGTTTTAACACTAACAGTACCAAAGCTAATCATATAGTTACCAGTGTCCTTTACTAAACTATCTGTTACATAAGATAATTCAAGACTCTGACATAAAAACTAGACATCTTTTTTTCGTACGAAGTTGCAACCTTTGTTTTCTCCTTACCCAATTAATATATTGTAATAACTTCCAATAAGGTAGATTACAAATATAAAAATATCAACGTTTTGTCTTTTTGTTCCTTAGTGTCACAAGATGTAAGAATGTAACTAAAGACGTGTCCATTGACACATTCATTTATACTTATTGCAGTGGAGGGCAGCAATGTAGAATTAAAAGGTAAATTAAGGTTATTTATTTTAACTCGCGAAGCCTTTCGCGAAGCTGTGAGGTATCGGGGTGGGTCCAGATTATTTGCAAATGGTTCGGGGATATTTTCAGTTTTAATGAAAGAATGAATGAAATAAGTTTAAATGACTTGGGGAACCGTCTTTTGTCTTGTCAACCTCCCATCTTTTGAGCGATTTAAAAGTCAACAATAATATTAGCCTGAACATTATTCTCATGATTGATTCTCCCCCCCCCCACCTACAGAAGATAAAAGCTGCTGACTATTTACACTTTTTTACTAGTTAAAAACCATTCTACAGGTGAATCCAGAGATGTCCGAAAAGGGGAGGGGCGAAAGTGTGGCCGATCGAGCCTAGACGCCCCAAAATAACCTCTGAGCCGTTTTGGGCTAGACCTATCAATTTTTTATTTTTCATTCTTTTTTCCCTTTTTCTTACTTTCTAAAAAGGGGAGGCGTTGCCCTAAATCCGCTCCTGCTGTGGGAAGACGGACGTCTTTTACCATCGCATCCTATGGATCCGCCCAGAAAATAATCATTCTATTGACACGGTTCCACTCCCCCACTTTTTACGAATTTTCTATAATTAAAATCCCAGTCATTTCAAAGCGAGTGGAAAAGACCAATTACGCATGAATTTTCTCTGTTCACTTGTGCTCTTCTTCAAGTGAGGTGGGTCTTTCCGGACCAAAACCATAGGCGGATTCAAGGGGCGCCGGGCCGAACCGCCCCTCCCCCCACCCCCACCAGAAATTCAAAATTAAAAAAATCGAGAAAAAAAGAAAATTCTACTCAAATTTTTAGGGTGTGATTTCCTGCCATCTAAATGTGCCATAATCATACAATTTCTTACATCAGCCCTAACCATGGTGGGGCTGAAGTATATGACCCCCCATCTGTAAAAGTCCCTCTTTGGGCCCCCTCTATTTCAAATTCCTAGATCCGCCCAGTAAAAACAGAGTAACAACACAATTGTTTGTAACCACCGTTGTTAAAATTAGAAGCTTGTAAACCTATTAGGCCAATATTTTTACAAATCAGAAAGTGCACAATTTCTACTATAAACGATTTATTCCTTTTGTATATATGACCCGTATATACTAGTGTTTAATATTATCTGTATACATAGATTCCTGTTTTTCATAATTAAAAAGATATATAGTTAGTCAATTGAATTTTATATAGACGTTATTAAACAATAATTATACAGCCTTTGACACAGACAGATCTATCTATTTCGATTTAAATAAACATAAAAATTAAAAAAATTAAATAACATAAACTTTTTTAAAAATGTCAAACTCAAAGAGATCAATCATCAAGCGCATAGAGGCTTTTTTCGCATGATGCGCTATACAAATCCAACTATTATTTATTTATTTACTTAACTAGTGACACCAAATTTTATAAATTCCAATGTTACGTTAACGCAATCTTGCAATTAAGTCATAATAATCAGTGATGGATTCAAGTGGGGTGCCAAGCCGACCCCCACGTCTAAATTTTTCAAAATTATTTAGAAAAATGAAAAAAAAAAAGGAAAATTATAATTATAATTTAGGCCTGAGAGTGTCATTTCCGGCCATCTAGAGGTGTCATAATCATAAATTTTCTTACCTCAGCCACATACATTGTGGGGCTGAGGTGGTCTAGTTTCCCAAACTGTGAAAATCCGTCCCTGTTTCCCTCTTTGGCTTTCCTGGATCCGCCACTGATAATGATAAATTAAATAAATCACCTTTATGTTTGATCGTAAAGACGGTAGTATTTCCACCCACTGTTTTCGCAATACTACTTACTCAAAGGTAAAATTCAAAAAGAGCAGAAAGGAAAAACTTCTTGATTGATTTTAAAAGTACTGTACATGAAGAGAATAAATTAGTGACTGTTTTAAATTTATTTTATTTGTTTTTCATGGTTAGAATACGTCACAAGCTAATCAGTAGTTAATTTATTCATAAAAATAATTATTTTTATGAATGTTGGTTTGCACGAAATACGTAAGCGGGGATAATTACCAGGATGATATAAAAAACTTTTTATGATGAGTATTTCAGTGGCATATTCAAGGGGCCCCGCTGGCCCACCTCCCATTTTTTCAAGTAGAGAAAAAAGAAAATCATATTAAAATTTAGTCTGAGAGTGCCATTTCCGGCCAACTTGAGGTGCTATAAGAAAAAGATGGCTTACCATGGTTGTTGCTGATGTGGTCTAACACTCTCCATCTGTAAAAGTCCCTCCCTGCCCCACCCCCTTCCTGGATCCGCCATGTATTTTGATAATGTAGTGTGGGAATTAATGTTAATTGTATTTCTTAAATTCAATAAAAGACTATAGGTGCAAGAGCTTCCGGGGGCTTCGAGCCCTGGACCCCCAGGGGTCTTATTTTGCATTTCGTTTTCCCCACCCACTTTCAACCACGGATCGACGCCCTTGATTACAATAACAGAATATTCTAAAGCATAATATTGAATACTTCATCGCAACTTTCTGTAATTTAATGAATACCTTTGCAAATCAAATTCAAATTAAGCCTACTTTTAAAATTAAGAACATGAGCCAATATTAATTGTTTAATACTACCGTGCCTACTTTTAAGGAATGGTAACAAATAGATTATACAATACATGCTAAAATGTTGTGATTGATGTAACCTGTAGACATTCCTTATTCGTCACATATTCACTGGTTTTAATGATTAACATAGTCAATTTATAATAAATTTTATTACATTATATTTAGTTAATGTACACGCGTTTGTATTAGCCACACTCACTAAAGTGGTACGTTCCAATTACCACCACATTTCCTTTCACCGTACTGTTCGAACGTAATTTGAATAAATTCTCATATGTGTTGCCTTTGTAGCATGACGAGCCTCGTCCAATATTTTGTAGACTCATATTATTGTAAATTTTTTTTACGATATTTTAATAGACATAAATAGGAGCTCAAAATATGCCAGTAATTATAAGATATTTAAAAGAATGGTTGTACGATATATTTCTTCCAGAGCTGTGCACGCGTCTGGACGGCAAATCGGCACAAACATTAGGGCCTTACACAATTTATAATATAGATATAATATAGATGTTTTTACTGGCAAGTGGGATGGCAACTCGTTTTTTAAGAACGGTCTTTATCATAATCCTGATAAGTATTAACATTAAATAAAAAAACAATATTTAGTCATACTTTTTTGTTATTAGTGGAATAATGACCGAATTTACAATTAAAACATTTAGTCTTGTATGTATTTGTTAGTGGAACAAGACACGAATCCCAACATTTTATCATTGCCACAGTGGAAACTGAATTATACTGTCGTCCTGGATTCTACCAAACCGGCAAAAGCTGTGAAGATGGTAAGTCGTTTAAACAACCATAAATGAAATAGAAAACATAAAAATATTTATCATTAAGAAATCTTTGCATCATTTCTATTATTTAATTATAAGACCTATAATACCGTAATTAATGTTATGACAGTTATAATAATTTGTATCAGAGATTATAATTGAGTTTGTATGTTCATAACTTTATTGGTGTGATTTTAATAACATTGTTTAGTATTATGACCTGAGTTGTTTCCAGTATTATTATTTCTAAGTTTGCTACAGTTAAAACTGATTCATAATTCTCGTAATTTTAAATAGATTGCGTAGAAATTAAAAAAGCACACAGGGTCTGCTTTCCCGAATTGGATCAATGTTGTCAGAATGGGGGAACATGTCTCAATACCAACTACAATATAACCTGTAACTGCTCCGACGGTTGGATGGGTGATTACTGCAGTGAGCGCTGTCCAGTAAATTTCTACGGTCCAAGATGCAGCCTAGAATGTCCGGCTTGCAGTAATGGTGGTTCATGTGATCCAGTTAAAGGGCAATGCGACTGCTCGCCCGGCTGGACTGGACCAACTTGTGATGAGAAATGTAGTTCGGGATGGTATGGAAAAGATTGCGCTCTTGATTGCAGGAGCTGCACCTTGGATGATGGTCAATGTCATCATATAACAGGTGAATGTGAGTGTTCACTGCCATATGGAGGACCATTCTGTGGAGACGTCTGTCATGATGGCGATAATGTACAATGTGGCTGGTTCCCAAACTGTTGTCACAATGGAGCTACGTGTAACCAAACTGGCAGTGAGAGTAAATGCAAATGTCCGCCTGGCTACTGGGGGAAATTTTGTGAAACACGCTGTACAGGTTTTTGGGGAGATGTATGCCATCGTAGGTGCTTATGTAATAATAATGCAACGTGTGACCCAACAACAGGGGAGTGTGAATGCACTCCTGGTTGGTCTGGCAAATACTGTCAAGAAAGTTTAAAGCCAGCGATTGACTCTTTAAAATGTCCAGTCAATTGCAGTAAGGATTATGGTTGTGACCAAGATGGACATTGCATATGTCCATCAAATATGACATGGAATGAAGACACGTCGTCTTGCCTCCGGTATTTTTATTTTTATTTTTTTTATTTCTACTCTTGTTTTTGCATTCAGCAAGGGTTTTGAACATGGCAACAATCAATGCAATGAAAAACATCACCGTTCACCTTGACAACTACTAACATTATCACTAACTCCACTGCTACTCATGGGCGTTGATCGTTGGAATTTTCAAATAACATCAATTGTCACATCACTTTTCACCAATCTTCTATAGTTAAAACCCCACTTTTCAATGCGAGTTGAAAAACAACAACAATTACGACTGTGCTGTCATGAATTTTTCTGTTCACCTTTATTCTGTTTCCTGTGCGATGCGTATTTCCGGACCAAAAACCGAGCAAACTTGTTTTTACATTTCGTATATCAGTGACCATTTCATCGATTTTATGGGTGCAAACGGTTATCAGAGGTTCAATTTATTGTGAAAACAATGTACACTTGACATTTACATCTTTTGAATGGTGTAACCCTATTAGGCCAAAATTTTCACAAACTCAAATGTGCACGATTTCTACTATAAACAATTTATTCCTTTTTATGTACATTATCAATCCCCTTTATAGATTCTTTTTTTTCCCAAATTTCTAAAAATTATAGTTAGTCAATTGAATTTTATAGGCTATAGCCGTTATTAAACAATGTACAGCCAATGACACGGTTACTTGGTTAGGGGCCTATCTATTTTAAACTTATTTAAATATAGATACCACAATTTACGATGTTACATTCACTCAATCTAGCCGATGACGTAATTTTATTGATAGGATAAGTTAATCATCTTAAAGCCCCATTCCCGGCAAAATTTCACTAAAAACTGACTTTTTTTTAGAAAATATGCATTTGCATTACTCCAATTTTTATAAATCATGGAAAAATATTGGCATGAATTTTAGTTTTACGTAAAAGAATTAAAAAAAAGAGAGAAATACAGACTATTTCTCATAAAATATTACCATTTTCTCGACGAATTCATCGTTACTAGGCAAATTCAGAGGTTGTAGATCGCATCCACTGGAATACTCTCGCTTTTATGTTTACTTTATACAGTCAATAAAGTGCGCCCTCTCTAATGAGATTAGTTTTTGTACTTCGCATCTCGCACAGAATCAGTTTTTTAACAAATTTGAAATAATTCCTATGAAATATTATATTTCACAAGTGTCAATACTAGGAACGGAAAATATCATGTCGGCCGTTTTTACGTGTGATAACAGAACCTAAATCGAGGTAAGGCTAGGCCTAGCCTAGCAGCGTTGGATAGGCTAATGTTTTCGGCGCCTACGATATTTCTTCTCACGATCTATCGCAAAATCAAACATGAAAAATTCATCCGCATTTATTTTTTGTGTGGAACACAAAAAAATCAAATTTCAGTCTTATTTTACATTTTTTTTCATTCTTAGAAATGTCTAAATTCAGTTAAACTAGCAATTCCGTATTATATTTATAAATCTTTATAACATTATACAAAAATTAGATTTTTCTTAAAAACTGAAATTTTGCCGGGAATGGGGCTTTAATGGTTTGGAAAATAAAAATGTTAACTAATGTGCTAAGTTTCGTATCTCCATATTCCTGTTTGATCGTAAATTAAGTCGTAGGTGTATTTCCACTCACAATACTGTTGTCGGAATACTACTTACACAAAAGTGCAATTCAAAAAGAGGAGAAAAATTAAAACCTCTGGATTGATTTCAAAAATATATAAGACTATAATTACGAAACGTGTAGGCTCGACATATTGATCTCTGATGAATAGTGGCCAAAATCACTACATAAACGTGACAAACTGATTATTATTGTTTATTTTTGGTACATATTTCAGCCGCTCCGAGTTTCTTTCATATTCTCCCTTCTTCCTTTATTCTTTTATATTTTGCGTTATTTTTATTCATAATTAACAGATTACTTCTTTAAATTACACTAACTCTTTAACTTATATCATTTCGATACATAATTAAATACTCTAACTGGACTCCAGGCCTAGGCCTATGTATACATTGTGTCTGTATTTAACATGTTTCTATCTTTGTCAATCTAAAGTCGAATGTATGTCCTGGTCCCCGACCCTTTTATGTTCACTTGGATAGGCTTATCTTTATAAGACTTCTACGAATGGATACCTTGTTTGAAGCAAGAAATTAGGTTGTTTTTACCCGGTACCACTCGTCTATTTTATTCGTGTGAGAAACTTTTAACCTGTGTTAATTATTTAAAATTGTTTTGCATGGTTCAGATATATTTAACACGAATCAGTAGATAATAAACAATTATTATTTTTATGAATGTTAGTTTGCACAAAATATATAAGCCAGTCTATGATTATGATTACGAGGATAATTTATGATGAACATTTTATTGGCAAATTCAAGGGAATCCAGCCCCTTCATCTAAACTACTTAAATTTTTCAAAATAAAAAAATACATATTCAAAATGTCTGGGAGTGCCATTTCTGACCATCTAGAGGTGCCACAAAATATTTTCTTACCTCAGGCCCAACCACTTTAGTGCTGAGGAGTTCTACACTCTCCACCTATGGCATTCCTTCCTTGCACCTCCTTTATTTCGAATTCTTAGATCCACTCACTGTATTTTGAAAATGTATTGTGAAAATAAATGTTAACTGTACTCCTTAAATCTGGCCCCGCAGCTTCTCATAAACCGATTTTTGTCTTTTACTGTACGATTGCATTTGAAGCATGTTGTGGCAAAATGGCTAAGTTGTAGCAAAAATTTTAATTCAAGTTATTGGTATTTGCAAATACCTGAGTATGTGATCTTTAAAACGAGGGGTCATTCATTCAAATTGGACATTTCAAACCTAAGTTATTGGAAAGTGAATGTACAGTACTCTTAGAATCAAGATAAACAGGATTTTGAGTAATTGCCTTTCAAAGTTATTTGTGCATACATTGTTTAATAGAATAAACTATGAAAAATAACGTTAAATAAACAATTTGTTAACGACTTCCAGAACTAATACTTTGGGACATGATTAATAAGACATTAAACTGTTGACTTATAGTGAAAAACAAATTTGGATTTTTTATCAATTTTTTGAGCTCCCATATTTTATAGCTCATTTACTCAATACTGGACTGTGTGACAACTTTACCATTTCGCCACAACATGCCTCATTTGAAAGATAACACACGTCTTTTTTATTGACAAAATAACGCCTGTTCTTCTGGGGGTTTTACCTCCTGGACCTCAACCGGAGGCGCTAGGTGTCCCTGGCTTCGCAGTCGAAGCTTTGGCCTCTACGGCTCAAGACAGCTAAGCTTCTGTGCTACCATTTCAATATCACTTTGATTTGTTCCTCAATTTATCGGGGTTCTCTTTTCCGTTCTTTTCATTAACTTCTCATTATTTGCCAACCCCTTGTAATATTTAGTATTATTGATATTTGAATTGCATTTCCATTATTTAAATGTTTCCCAGACTAATATGTCTGTCGAATATTATTGCATGTTTTACATTGTATATTCTCAATTTGTTTACCTTTTAGGATGGCTGACACTATCCCGAGTAGACGCAAATGTCCGCCTGGGTAAGATGTGTATAAGAGACAGGTTATACACACTCCAAGAGAAATTATTCAGGAATCTTTGATAATTAGATAAGGCATAACTACTCATGTTGGTACTATGGTTTACTATTCAATATGAAACGTTAGGCATGTGACAATGATTCCATATTAGCCATTCTAGTCTTAATTTACCACATAACTATGATTACGGTATTCAATGTGTTATAAAGTTGTACGCGACTAACCGATGAGTGGCGCAGTCTTCGCTGGTTCCCGGTTATATTTAGTCAAACATACTTGCGTATTGAGAAGGGAAACATGGTTTAAGAATAAATAAGAAAGCGTCATATGATGTGGATGTTCTATAATGTAAGATTTTGGTCTATAATCAGCATAAGTGGCAAATGCAGCATTGTGAAAACACCTGCAGTACGTTATATACTGTAGCCCAGCGCCAAATCTTCGCAAACAACTAGCAAGGGAACGCCCATTGTATTTATTAGCCTAGTTCTGACACAGTAAGTCTAAATTCTTGATTTCATCTGTATTTCATCGGTTATTTAAAGATGAGTGTAAGATTCTAAAAATCAAAATTCAGTTTT